GACCAGGATGGTCTCGATCTCTTGACCTCGTGATCCACCCGCCTCGGCCTCCCAAAGTGCTGGGATTACAGGCGTGAGCCACTGCACCCGGCCTCAAAAAAAATTTTTTTAATTTTTTTAATTAGCCAGGTGTGGTGGCATATATGCCTATAGCCCCAGCTTCCAGGGAGACTGAGGCAGGAGGATCACTTGAGCCCAGGAGTTTGAGGCTACAGTGAGCTGAGATCACACCACTGCACTCCAGCCTGGATAACAAAGACCCTGTCTCAAAAAAAAGAAAAATATATATATATATATATATTCAGACTACTATTACTTTTTTTTTTTCTTGAAGCAGAGTCTTACTCTGTCACCTAGGCTGGATTGCAATGGTGCGATGATCTTGGCTTACTGTGTCTGCCTCCCAAGTTCAAGAGATTCACCTGCCTCAGCCTCCCGAATAGCTGGGACTACAGGTGTGTGCCACCACGCCTGGCTAAGTACAGAAGGGGTTACACCATGTCAGTCAGGCTGGTCTCGAGCTCCTGACCTCAAGTGCTGGGATTACAGGCATGAGCCACCATGACCAGCCTAAACTATTTCTGAAAGCCTGAAATTTTAGATTTGTCATTACCATTCCCATCAAACCCAATTTCCCCTTAACCAGGGAATCACCAGATCCCCGTCTCCTCAGTGCTGGCTGCAACATTCACCCAGCTTCTCCTTTCTCCACCCAATCACCTAGGAGTTCACTGAGCAGTTCCAGGTACTCCTGCCCAAGGACGCCCAGCCCTGCAGGGAGGTCATCGCCACCCTCCTGGAGAAGATGAATGTGGACAAGAGGAACTACCAGATCGGCAAGACCAAGGTCAGTGCTCCTGCCCCCCAGGGCACCACAAACTCGCACCCCACCTTCCTCTGCACACCATGTCTCCCCATGTCCCCAGGCGCTCTGGGCCACTCTCTGAAACAAACAGGGCTCTGTCTAGGAAGTGCATTTCTTTTTTCTTTTTTTTTTTTTTTTT